TGTAAATCAGACCCCTTATTCTTCTTCATCACAGAAGCTTGTAGCCATAACAGATTAGCAATAGGTGGTAGCAGCCTTCCAATATTCCAGATCAAAATCCAAAGATTCCAAACCAAAGTCACAACTGGGAGAAATTCTTAAGCCCAAGCATCTCAGAAGTCTTAAACTCAATAGTCATCCAACAAACCAAATCCAGACGGACCAGACCCTAGAGCCTCTCTCTCTCTCCCCTCTCTCATTTCCCCTCATTGCCTGTCGCAGACTCCTAGTCGAGTGTCGACTGAGAGGTCCGATAGTCTCAAATATGAGACTTTGAGATTTTAGCGATATATAGTTTGATTTTTTTTTTTTGGTTTTGGAATTTTTTTTTTAGCTCTCTCTCAAACAGTCAAAAACCTAGTGGTTCCAATCCAAATATAAACTGAAACCACTTTTTCCATTTTAATCCAATTGTTTTAATTATATAACTTTTATTATTCACCACATAATCAATTTAAAACTTAGCTTATTAAGTTTTCTTTTGCATGTGTAATTGAAGATTTATTAATTAATTGCACATAATGGAGACAATACTAATATATAAATTTTTAATGCTATTAATTAAAACAATACTAAATATGTGTAATAATAATAAAATATACATTTTTAAAGCTATTAAAATAACTATATATAAACACTTGTGTTTTTTTTATAATTCTAAAAAATCATAAATTACGTTATATTAAATTTAGTATTATATTCATATTCACTAGTTTTGGGGTCTTATGTATTCATGAAGTTCATAATTTATGGATACATATTTGTCGTTGTTTGTTATTTTTAAATTCGCAAACTTACCTTTATTGGAAGCTTAAACAATTAGTGACATTTACTTCTTAATTTTGTAGAATGGCTCCAAAAAAACATGATATTGGTTGGGAACATGGTACACCAGTCGGTGGTGACCGACAAATTGTAAAGATTGTTCAAAAATTGTGCATGGCAATAGCACGAGACTAAAACAACATATTGCACACATTCCCAGCCAAGTGGAGACTGATCCCCAAGTTCACCAAAGAAGTGTCGCTGTTTTTGAAACATCTTAAATGAGTGTGCCAAAGAAAGGGTTGTCGTGAAAAGGAGAAAAGAAATTATGTTTCAAATGCAAGCAAGCGTCCAACTAAGAGTTCATTTTTTGGTGGTAGCTCGTTACAACCATCTAGCCTAGGCGTCAAGCGTGATGCAGCTATAGTATAAAACAAGGAGGAGCTAAAGTGCCTATAAGTTGCATCGATCCTTATATGTTTCCCTCCAAACAAAAATCAATAAAAGGTTGCTAAGAACATGAAAAAAGTGGGAAAAGCTATTTTGAAATTCTTCATTTTTAACACAATATCATTCAATGCAACTGATAGTGGGCCCTACTATCAATCCATTTTTGATATTATTGTTGACGTAGGGCCAAGACTTAAGGGCTCCACAGAATATCAAATTGACCGCTCTTTTTTGGAGGAAGAAATCCAAGAGCTTGAACTATGTATCTCCACAATGAAGGCAAAATGACCTCGGTATGGTTGCACCATAATGTGTGATGGGTGGAGTTCCAAAATTATAAAACCCATTATTAATTTCATGATTTATTGTGATCAAAACATGATCTACCATACCTCGGTTGATACCACCAATGTATCGAAAATTGCTGACTATAATTCCTCTCTTATAGATAGAGTAGCGGATGAGGCTGAGGAAGGAAATGTAGTACAAGTGGTAACTGATAATGAGGAAAGCTACAATGCAGCTTGTAAGTTGTTGATGGAGAAGAGGAAGCATTTGTTTTGGTTTCCTTGTTCAACCCCATTGCATTGATTTAATATTAGAAGATATTGGCAAGATGAAATCAATTAGGACAACGTTAAGTGATGCAAAGGTCATCACATCATTTATCTACAATAGTTTGAAAGTGGTGAACCTCGTGAAACAATATACGAGAGACAGAGATTTATTGAGACTAGGAATAACAAGATTTTTCACTGAATTCATTGCAATCGAAAACGTGGGGCCAACAAGACTAAACATAATCATTGTTCACAAGGTTACCATGGCATTGATGATCATATGCATAATTTAGGTTTGGCATCACATGCAGGATTAGGATATGGGTCTTATTGACATTATCAAATGAGTGGTGTAGATTATGATTGCAGATATGGACCGTATGGTCTTAGTGTCCCTCCTCAACAGCTTAAGCGATCTACTAGTACAAATAGTAGTGGTTATTATGCTCATCGACCGACGCGTCATAAGACATCTACTAGTATAAGTACTAGTGGCTACTATGATCGTGTTCCAAGGAGACGTAATCATGGATCTTCTACCATATCCACCGGCGATACAAACTATTACGATCCTTATGGATACAATCAATCTTATGCTAGTAGTGGTTATGAATATCGAAGTTTTGGTTACTATCAACATGGAGCCGAGCAAGCATAACCTCCACAGTCCTCTTACTCTTGTTATAGATCATCTAGTTAATCATCTCAAGCAACACAATAAGAAGGATAGTCATATCTGTATCCATATCTTTATAGTGGGAATTACTTACCGAACTTGTATAATTATCAAGGAAAAGGAGACAATAATAATAATTTCGAGCCTCATCGCCATTTAACATAGTAATGATTTTGGCTCATATGATTTTTAAATGTTTACATTGAACTTAGATGATGACAAATATTCTCCGGTAGCATCCTTATTATCCCTTTATGCAATGATTAATGTCTTAAATAATGCATTTTTGGGATATGATGCATGGATAATGATGTTTACATTTATTATAATTTTTCTTAATTTTCTTGAATTTTTTTGAACCTTCTATATAGCGCTTTGAGTGTATCAGCCAATACGGTGATATCACGACCGATGTGTCTCAGTGATCCCCAATCAAGGGCCGATACCATGACCTTGAACCATGCACCCAACAGCAAACAACAATCTAGCCAATACCGTGATATCACGACTGATGTGTCTCAGTGATCCCCAATCAAGGGCCGATACCATTACCTTGAACCATGCACCCAACAGCGAACAAGAATCTATCCAAGTGTTTGCACACCACCCTAGGCAAAGTCACCTCTCTAAATCCCATAAACAATCCACCCACGCAATAGAGAACAAGAATTTATAGAAGCGTTTACACACCACCCTACTCCTGAAATTTGACCATGTAAAAACATCATTAACTAAAGGAGGATCCCTATGTTCAATTGTTCTACTAAATGCATTAATATCCCTCATGGTCCTAGTAATTCGTCCCTATCTAACTTCACCAGATATCAAATAACATTAAAATCCCCCCCCCAAAAAAAAAAGTCCCCCAACTCTTCCCACATAGATGCACTAAGCCTAGCTTTATTTGGCCCATACAACCCAGTGAGCCACCAATCAAAACCCTCTCTATATCTTATTGTCACCGATAAACTACATTTCCCTCAATTGACTCTCCCACATTAACTAACCTTTCCTCCTAACTAATGACAATCCCACCCGACCTCCCCATTGACAGTAAAAACACTCAATTCTTAAATCTTAACCTCCAAACACTCTTAATAACCCTTCTATCTACTGCTTCTAACATAGTTTCTTGCAAAACAACAATATCAGCCCCAACCCTAGCCAAAAAAATCCTTAATTTCTTTTCCTAGATGTAGCTTAGTTTTTGGACTTACATATAAATTTCTAGATTTTTTTTATGTTATGTTACAGTTTTTTTTTCTTATGATGTGGGGTACGTCCACATTTTGTTTCAAGTCATTTAAATAGTCACATGACTATTTAAATGAGGTGGCACTTGGATTATAGAAGATGGAGACACCTAAGCTTCAGGGAAAATGAAGGGTTAGGGTCTAGGGTTCCTTCTCTTATAAATAACCTAACTCCCAATAGCAGGGTTCAAATTTTGGAAAAGTTTTTGACGTTGGCTTCTGACAGGTTCTCTTCTCTCTCCCCTTCTCTTTCTTGAGTCTTCTCTTCTCTTTCTCTTTTCCTTTTTTTCTTCGTTTCTCTTCTTCTCTATACAATTTATCTTCTTTATCTACTACATTCTCTTCAAAAGCTTGTTTAGCTAGTGGTTAAAAGCTTCTCTGCATAGATGGTTCTAGATTTCTCGGGTTTAACAGCTCCTACAACTCTCCAATCAAGATTTCTTCCTTATTTCCTCCCTTCTTCTTGCCTGGCCATTGTTTCCAAAGCCTATCCCTTCCATTTACTAAGGGTGTGTTTGAGTGATGGGGTTAGATTGGGTAGGACTTGTTTTTTTATATCCTAACCCATCCAAGCCAAACCCACTCATTCACTCTAAAATCCTAACCTTAGAATATATTCAATCCCAACCTTTGTTTGGGAAACAAATATATAATTCGGTGGGCACCATAGATTACACAAATAATTTTGTAATAGTTTACCATTTTACCCATAACTCTATTCATTCTAATTCAAACCAATCCGTGGATTATCCTAATAAAATTATACATTTTTCACATATACAGAAAAACATATAAAAATTATATGACTTAGATCCCTTGTTTAATTTTTTATTTGATTTCAATAGATAGTATAATTATATATTAATTACGATTTTTTAAGAAAAAATTAAATTTTTATTTTTAATTTTATTTCAACAAATAATACGATAGAATATGAATTTTAGTTATAAAATTTAAAATATTTGATATTTTATCTTTGATTGGAGTATTTTTGGTCAAAGTATAATAGTTTAAATTTAAGAGGTCTGAGTATTATATACCTACTACAAACTTCGGAGAGTTCTAAATGTAATTTATTAAAAAAATATATTTATTTTGAGGGGTCTAAATGTTATGCACGTATAAACTTGAGAGAATTTGTATATAATATTTTAAATATTAAGGGGTCTAAATAATTAAGTGACAAATTTCAGGGATTTAAGTGTAATTTTAAATCTTTTTTATATCAAACCCAGAACACAACCGTTCATCTACCCGTCAATGTATGCAACTCCCCGTATACATCCCACCACCACCATTAAAGCCACCACCACCACCACCACCACCACCTCCACCTCCACCTCCACCTCCACCTCCACCTCCACCTCCACCTCCACTCCCATTTTTCTCCCCCTGTCTACCACCACCCATTGAGCTCTTCTCCTCTTCGCCAAATAAACCTTCAACACAACAAAAACACCATCACCACCACTACAATAGAAACACCCACCACCACCACTACCTCCCACCACCATCTGTCGAAATTACTTTCCGCCTCTGTATCCATGGCAATACTCTCCTATTACGAAGAAGATCACAAGCCGATGAATAGACCCTCATCATCGTCGGCGACGACTAGACCCTCATCCCACTGTGCAGCACAAAGAAGACCCTCATACGAAGAAGACAACTAGACCCTCATACGAAGAAGATCACTCTTACAGCACCTTCGTCCCAAAACACTTATCGAGCTCAATTGGTGTATAGTTGTGTGTGAGTGGTTGAGCGATAGCGAACGAGAGGGGCAAATTGGTCAGATGGATGCTTAATTGTAACCCATGGAAGGGGTGGGTTAATTGTAACCGGTGTAGAGGGGCTATGGACTACTGTAGCAACCAGGTCAAGGATTGACCCGGAATTGTTATCCAGCCGCAAAAAAATCTTCCCAAACAAAGAATAAATGGGACCCATCACTTTATTTAGCTATCCTTATGGTGTTAACCTCCTTTATCCTATTACCCAAACACACCCTAATAGCACTTACTGATCTAGGCAGCTAGAAATTTGCTTACACCTTCAAAAAATTTATTCCTTACCCAGAGTTGAATTAAAAAACCTCATAACCTAAACCTTTAGCCTTTCCTTATTTGATTGCTAGGGATAACCGGTGCTTGAAGGCACGATGCAACATAAACCAACCGATTAATTTGGAAAAGTGAGACGCGAAGATCCCAAAGAGAGAGTGTGAAGAGTGAGAAAAGGAAGGTAAAATTCCATGTGCATTGTTTTGAGAAGGATGTTAATAGCCGTTGAATCAATCTATTTGAAACCGTCGGATGAGCTTATTGTAACATGTCGTGTTTTATATTATTGATTGTTGTGAATAGGTCATTTTGAGACATTATTGCTTTAGCATAAACTTGGTTTAGTTTCGTGATGGTTGCATTTAACAACATTATATACATTACTTTGTGTGTGTTACTGCTAGTTGTTTGGTAGCCATTTTAATTCCAAAAGTTCTCCTACATCCATTCTAAAACCTAGGCTGCATTATTCCTCCATAATCCTAATCCTCTTATATTCCAACTAACAATCTTCATAGCAAACTAAAGCTCCCTCCCCAACCCTCGTAGAATTTCATCCCCATAATTGATCCCTGAATATAAATTTTTCAATTATATATTTCCTTCTCTCTTCCTCGGACTCTTTCCTTCTCCTTTAATTCCAAAATTCTTTTTTGCCGAAACTAACAAAGAATCAACTTTTTTCCAAAAAGTTATTTAATATTACCCATCTTTCTTCATCTGACACAAAACAATCATTGACATATTTATTAGCCCTTCTATGATGGAATAACTCTCGCTTTGCAACTTTGTTTCCCAAACGATGCTACCTGTGAAGGCGTCGCTTCAGCAAGCAGCCACTCTCGTAAAGGGGCACACACACACACACACACACCGGCAACACACAAAGTACATGGAAAATACTCCCCAACCTCATATTATTGCTACACACAATACAAAGAACTCACAAATCGGAAACAGCATACGATTCACAGTTGTATTGAAATCTGAAGATAGTATCTCTTCATATATAGGCATAACAGATTTTAATGGCATACAAGTTTTGGGGAAAAGAGCATAAAAAGAAGAGTAAAATGAAAAAGAAATCTTCTTTCGCAATCACGACTAGTTTTATATGCAACCACACTAAGGAAGAATGCAATCAACCTCAACAACTTCAATTATGAAACAAGCTGCCAAGTCTCAATGCAATGTTCATCAATTCATAAGAGATGATTAAATCTTTATTATATGCTCTGATCCCTTGTGACAACTAATCATAGTTCCACTATCAACTTCAATTTTCAAAGCACAATTTTCTCTATTTAAATGCTAGGCACCCCACGTCAACTGAAACCAAAGCTAAAATAGCCAACAAGAAGTGAAAATCCCTTAGCTAAAACCATCTAGGCGTTCCTTGGACCCCAGCAGCATGGGCTACAAAACAGCAATTAACCCTCCTTCCTTTATAACCCCACCCCTCCCCTAGTCCTTTTCGTATGATTGGAACCCAGCACTGTCCAGATGTAAGGCACTAAAATAGATTCATTTTTAGAATACCATGAACAATAGCTCACTGCGATAGCACGTGCCATACATGGTACAACAAGGCACTGCAATAATGCTGCAGTCAAAATAAAAACTAAAACAATAAAAATCCACTAAGTATACACTGTAACCATTCATAATATAACAGGATAAACGACCTCCTTGGGAGGCAGACTATCGCAACAATCCTTCAAAACTTGGCCATAGAACTCATCCCAGGCCTTTGGAACTGTTATTTGCTTTCATCAATTCCATTAACACAGGACCAGATATTAGGCAGGTCCAGATTACAAAAGAACGATAAAGCTAAATTATATCTGTACGGTCCAAACCAACCCAAATTATCTGCACTAATCCATTTTTTAATGCTAATTATAGTTTTACCATTTACATAGTCTAAGTTCCTATAGATTTATACAGCAGTATGCATTTTTAATACATAATTTAGGTCTTGACCAAAAAAAAATACATAATTTAGGCAAAATGACTAAATTATTCTGAAATGGCAACTGGCGCACAGTTCACGCAGCAAACTCTTTTAGTTTCACTGAAAATTTAAATCAAAATTCGACCTCAATTGAAGAGGAAGGCAGGTAAAATGTCAACCCTGTCTTCATTCAACAACCATTATCTTGAATTGCGTGTTAGAGCACATCGATCACATGAGAAAATCAGAGCTCTGGGATGGGAGCAAACTGCTATAACAATCACTGCAAAGCTAACTTCAAGTCTTTTGACTTGCTCTGTCTAACCTTCAACCTCAAAATTCAAATTTGTCAAACATAAGATAGAAGCATTCCATTGGTTACAAACTTACAATTTGTTTTGCTGGGTGTTTAGGGGAAACTTTGCTTCTTAAACGAATTGGAAATTGTTTTGGAACTCAGAGTTCATATTTACACAAGTTAGTACCTTAGTATCATAACATGCGAATGGATGTCAATTTTTCTGGGGTCTATTTCCTTAGTATCATAACTTCTGTTATACTCTCTGTAGATCTTTCATGTGAGTTATACCCACACAACATAGCAGAACTAAGCTCCCATGTGCCATATATAATGCTTCTGATTCTCCATCATGATTAAATGTAAATATGGAATCACTCATAACCCTTGCAAGTGGTAAGTGAAGCAGTAGTGCCACTCAAAAAAAACAAAAGGGAAGATGTGTAAACATGTCCCAATGATACTTCCAAAAGAGGGTAGTATAACCAAATTGCTAAATAGGATTATACAAGACAATGAACCAGGTTAGGGAAAGGGGAGACAAAAATGCATGAAGGGGGAGCAAAAAATGCATATATGTAAAAGTACCTCTCCATCAATAATTACGTCTATCATCCTTGGTGGGACAATTATATCTTCAACAAATTTTGCCAATTTTGATTCTGCCACCTGTAACAGCAAATAATCCGATTCTTATAGGCTGAGGCATACTGTAGACAAATGAATACTACATTAGAATGAGACCCAATGGGTTACCAAAAATCATTGGGCTGAGGAAGTAGTTAATAAAAGAAAAGATGTTAGAAAGCCATCTTTATTCTCCCATCCCCTCTAATTCAATGCACACCTCATTGCAACAGAATCCGGTACATGAGTCAGCAATTTTTCAAGCTTGTTGCACATAAGGTTCATTACGCTTTGTTTATGGCAGGTAAATAAATCAATAAAATTACGTAAGAGTTAAAATTAGGGAACACATTTGCTATACATCAAATTAAAACCATTTTTTATATAAAGAGCATCATAATAGAAGAACCAATTATAATCAGTAATAGCAAATGAAGTGAGTTAACAAGCTTCAAATTAAATAATTATGAGCACATGCAAGCATAAACATGAACATGTACTGATATATTATTACATTTTAAATAGTCCCATGATGGATTCAGAAAATAAATCAAGACTGCAACACTTGGTTCCAACTAATGGCCCTTGCTTTCAGGAATTGGCATAGGATAAATCCAGTTGGCTTCGAGGTGAAGAAATAAAGAGAAATGGACAACAAATCAGCAAATTCTGAAAGGAAAACAAGGGTGGGACCTTTAGGAGGAAAGAAAGACAAGTGGGTTCCATATACTCACTCCACAGAAAGCAAGGTTGTGAAGAGATCAAAACACATAAAAAAAAAATTCCATACGTTGATCGTCACTAACTTAGATAGGAAAATACTGCAACTTGAAAGCATAAGCCTCATGTGACAGCATAATACGCATCTTTCAGCCCAGTCTTTAACACAGCTTTATCTGTGAAGGTAAATGGTAGTCTAGAACCACAATTGTAGGGTGTCTTGCTTCAGTATCTAACTTTATTTTTCTCTCCCATTCTATAGGCGGCCTTGGGACTTACCTTTTGCTCTTTTTTCTCACTGTGTAAACGAGAGGGGATTGCACATGAAGGTCAGTGTGACAGCTTGATATGCATTGGGTAATACATTCCCTGAACAGCTCATTTTTAGGCAAGCAGTAGTCTAACACCATGGATCATGGCAAACTCAAGCATATCAACTTGGCATGGAAGGAAGTTCAAGCTTTAAAGTTTTTTAGGATTTGTTTGTTGAAAGGAAAAATGATAAAACAAATCTAGCATAGAAACTGTTTGTTTGTCGAGCATAGAAACTGTTTATGATTATGAAGATATTGATAATTTATTGGACTCCGATGATGATTTATTAATAGAGAAGTTGCATGAACATGAAGATACTTCCTATGTATCAAAATCACCAGTGATGAAGATAGCAGGAGTGGGTATATTTGATGGGGAGATTGACAGAGGGGGCAGTAGGAAAGGACAGTCATAATAGTAAGGGACAAAATGCTTTAATGGTGTAAATCAGGTTGAGACAACTACACAGAAGTTGGTTATTCATTACTCTGCCATCCAAGTGTCTTTCTAATTCGCGAGTAATATCATCTATTCCTAATTCCTATCATGCTGATACTTTTTCTGAGAATGAAAATGCAGGGACTTTTGTGGTGAGCATGTGTTCTAGTCTGGGACTTTCACCCAGTCTTTGCGTGCGTGCATGGCCCGGGGGGGGTTTAACCTGTATGCCAAGAGAAGATAGGTTGTGGGGAGGACAAAACTAATTGTAGACCTCCTAGGGGATGTGGGAGACATCCAAGTGGCACAAACTCTCTTAGAGAAAATGGGTTTCAGGCTGGTTAGTCCTACAGGGCAGGAAATTAAAGTGGGAGTGCCACCTCTAGGATATAGCAGGAGAAGCAGGAAAGGTGATAGGGAGTTTTTTTTGGAGGGTGAGAGGGAGTTAAAGAATCTAAAATGCAAGATTAATTATGATAGGGGGAGTAAGAGAAGGGGAGCAGGTTTTAGATGAAGTTGATTAGTCGCAATGTGAGGGAGATTGGGGAGTTGGACGAAGAGAAGAATGATTAAGTGTTTCTGAGAGCTTCTCCAGACGTAATTATGCATGAGGAGACAAAATTAGAAATGATAGATGAGGCTCAAGTTAGGAGTTTTTGGGAGTCTAGATTTAAGGATTGGATTTTTTACCTTCACGTGGATCTTCTGTGGGTACTGTTGTGATATGGGATACTAGGTTTGCTACTAGAATAGATTGTGTTCTTGGTTCCTTTTCTGTGTCGGTTTTACTTAAGAATAGAGGGCAATGGTGGATATATTCTGTGTATGGTCCAAATCATTCTAGGACTAGATAGAAATATCATGTCGACACTACGAAACGTTTCAAATTTTTAACACACCGACACGAATCAATGGTTGAAACAAAAAATTCCAGAGTTTCGAGCGAATCATCATGACATTTCGGTCAAAACATTAAGAAAATTCGACAACAGATTCAAGCCAAAAAAAAGTGTAAGAGATTCTTCAAGTTGTCCTCCTCTTCTCAGCACAACAGAAAAATACAATAAAAGCAGGGAGAGAGAGACAGAGGGCTACTTACTAGAGGTCCTCAAGTCCAAATCTAAGCAAATCCAAGTCAAACTCCACTCCCACTGTCCCATGGATAAAAAGTTTAGCCTCCAAACCCCCCCCCCCTCCAAAGTCCAGATCTGTACGGGTAGGGTAGGTATTTTTTTTCACTCTTTCTTCCTGCTTTGCAGATCTGGGATGGAGAACCTAGATCTGGGCTTTGCTTGCCCTAGTTGTTCACCTATTCCTTCCTCCTCCTCCTCCTCCTCCTCTCTCTCTCTTGCTCATCAGCAATATTTCATCTCTTCTCTCTCAATCCATTATCGTAATTACTCATCCTCGAAAAAACCCCTAATTTTTATCAAAAAATTTTCCAATTGAAAATAACATCAAAAGAGGTCTTTGGAAACCTGAGGCAGGCCGTTGAACACGAATTTTTGCCTTAAAACATATTTCAGTGAAGCAAGAGTATCCTGAGCAGCCTCAATAAACCCTCCACAAAACTCCCCAATATTTTTGAATACTTCCAAGTGGCATAAATGGTATGGCAACCCTTCAATCGCAATCCACCCTCCCCGAAACGCTCTACTTCTCGTCGCATTGGCCTGGCTTCCACATTTGTATCCTTACTTTAAGATAGCCATGAGATCCCCGAAGAATTCAGCCTTCGTTTCTACAAGCTTCCTCAACCATTTGATGGCTGGCACAAAAGAAAATTGCCTTACCAGCTTAGTGGAGAGCACTCTTAATCAATGCCACGAATTGGTCACATTCTCCCCATTACACACAACAGCCTTTTTCCATCTCTCCTTGTCTCTGAGAATCACCTCATCAAACATTGGAGTCTTGACAGCCTCTTGTTTCTGCACCAAACTGTCTCCGTTCTTTGTCTCTGTTTGTAGCCACAATACCCTATTTGCCTGATGGATTCTTCTCCCTTGGCTAAGCAAAAACTCGTCAAGAAAACTTCTACATTCCTTCCAACCCCTTCCTTCTTTCCCTTTGGGTATAATCAATCCCATTCTTCAACCATTACTCATCAACTTAATAATCCTCAAAAACATACCAAATCTACTCGTCTCCATTTCAATCCATATGCAGTACCCCACATCCCCATATTTCTGCAGAAGAACTCCCTTATGTGTCCACCCAATTGCCTCACCAATGGTTCTTCCCAGCCATAAAGCACACTCTATAGTAAATAGACAATGAAACGATCTGAATCTATTCCTTTCGGTGATAGCACGTTGAATCCAAGAAAGGTTAATGAAAAAGTTTTCGGTTCAATCTTCAAATCCATCTTTCTATAGATATGATCAAAGAAAGAAGAGAGAAGAGAAGTTCGTTCATGAATTACGGCTGCCAATGGCATGCTCCATTGTTTGAAGTTGATTAAAATGGGTACAGCAAATAAAGCTAAGCCCACAATAAAAGCATTATATCATGAGCGTATAAAAATCAAAGTGTCAAAACAATTACAAAATTCCTTTGGAAGTGAAGAGCAATGCATAGTGTGGCGAAGCCACGTTTTAAGGGTTGGGGAGCACTTCCCCATTAACACTTAATAGCCACTAGTCACTCTTGATGGGAATAGGTTCATCTTTAAAGTATTTTTCCCTTCCAATATTTTTCTATTGGAGCTTCCCTCATTCCTTTTATCAAGCATAATGATGCGAATGCCAAAGAGTGATCTTTGAACGCTATTACACATCCTTACTCATAGTATAGTGTAAGGTAGGTTTGGGTATAGCAAGACTTGAACCTGCGACCATTAGGTTAAAAGTCCAATGCTCTACCAACTGAGCTATACACCCAAAAAAAGATGTAATAGTAAATAAGGATTGGTGCCGAAAAGAAAAGAGGGCGGCCACTCTTCTTCTCATCATATTAAAGGGGTGCGGCTCTATATGAGGCTCGTACTGCAGAGCAAGCGAGGAAAACGTAAGGGCGCACGTTAGCTTTCCTGCAAGAAAACGGCCTAGCTAATGCGCCCCTTATTGAAAACTCAAGTTTCGCCTTGATCGATATGAGAAAGATGCACTCAAGCATGCGAAGAAAGTCGGCCTTACTCAACAAGCACCTTTCTTAGGTTGGGTGCTTATTTCCATTCATTGAAGATTCTATCTACAAAAGAAGGTCAACGGGGGATATTCAAATTGCTCTCACTGACACCATCTACGAGAAGGTGAGGTCTTCTTTCTTTCCAGCTGCCATACAGTTCGCCTTAAAGACGGAGAAGGGGAGGAGCAATAATCTATGTAATTACGGTCTTTGTTGGCCATTGTTCCAGTCGAGCACTCTCTTTTCTTTGTAAAATTCCGTCTTACCAACCCGCGAAGGGTTATGAGGCTGGACCAGATACGAAGAATGAATCTATATCTGTGCACGGAAGTTGCTGGCCAGCGGCCGCTCAATGTTCGAGCGCAATGCAGTGGTGTCGGTTTCTCTTCGACAAAGAATGTCTGGTCGAAGGTCTAGTACAGTAGGTAGCAGGCGTGTTCGTTTTGGCTCCCGAGCGAGAACGAGAAATAGGCGATGCACCATCCTTGCTGCTACGTACATTCACCTTGACTTGACAGATTCATCCAATTGAAACCACACTCAAAGGAGGACCACAAGCTCGGGACTCGACGAAACAGAAAGTATCGGCATTAAGAAACTTCTTGGGGTTAGCAGTGAAAGAAAGAGTCCGACATTCATTTCTTCATGAATATTCATAGTTGAGTCTACTAAAAGAGGGACCAACCTCATCGTGGTGATTAGAGGACACCTTTGATCGTTCATCTCTAATGTGACACGTTCTCCCCCAGTTATATGATCAATGGGATCAGTCGACTAGAGAGCGGGGCTATTCTTCTTCCGGGGAGACAAAGTCACCCCTTCTACTGACCGAACCCTCAGTTCAGAAGTCTTCGTCAACATGTTACGAATCTCCAATCTTCGGCGGGTCACCATTACTTGACTTAGAAAGGTGAACATCTAGGCAAGGGAAAGCGCAGTGCGTCTAGTTCAAATAGCTTTCTTTTTTTATGATATTCCAATCAGAATGGAGAGTCCTACCTACGTACATGATTGATAGAATCACCACTACGTAGGGGGGCGGTCAACTTGATGCGGGAGAGACATGAGTGATGTTCGATCTTGTGGTGTATTCGTTTGTAGTGAATAGGGCCTCTTTCTTGTTGATCAGCTCACCTCCGCTCTATTGAAAGGTCTCCATTCCTACGGCGGTTTTGTCAACGAACGCGTCTCGGGCCGAATTGACTAACCTAACCCTTAAGGAGGCCTTGCTTTTATGTTTATAGGGTGCTCTGCTTTAGTGTGATTGACGAAGGCTAGGCTAGGTTTGGTAATACCCAAAACAAATGAAAAGAGATCGGGGTCGATAGTTGGCAAGAAACTTGATCCCCCCCCAAAAAAAAAAAAAAGGGCAACTGCGATCGAACTCTAATTCTGGAAAAAAGTCGAAGCCCTTTTACCAAGTCTACCAGATAGAAGATGATAGAGGGCCAACTATCGTTGCGTTGCACAACAAGGTACCGTTTCACTTCGAGTTCCTTCCTTCGTAGTCAAATCTGATGATACGCTTTGTCAATGTTACCTACTAAATAAAAGGCCTGCGAAGTAATCGAAATCGCTCAGGTCAATGAGGACTCATTCACTCACCTACTCCTTATCTATCTAATAGTTTCTTCTATCTACTAAATTCAAAAGGCGACCCGCCGCGCCGGACTATAAGATAAGATAGAGCTGTTGTACTACTTGACTGGTAAGAAAGAGCTTTCGTAAGAACTAGAAGACTTTTGTATGTACGGTAACCCTCTCTTTCGCTACTGGTGGACTATTGCACAAAAAGGCCGACAGAAGCAACGTTTCTTAGCGCACTTTTCAAACGCTAAGCTTCTGCTAGCGGCGGGGCGGCAAGACCATAAAGTAAGTTCAGTTAGTTGGAAGCCTAAGCCAAGAAGGTACGAACAAAGTGACAGGCCCCTTTAGAGTAGAGATAGGGGGCGGCTTTCTTATGGTAGTAATTCCGAACATCTCTTCTGTTCTCTTAGCATGCACAGTTTGCTTACATGTCGCCTTAGACACATCTCTCTTTCTTAGTTTCACGTTGGCCTAATGAATGAAAGCTCTAAGTGACCTACTTTTACTAAGCGTATATAAGCAGTTGTTTAGTGTATAAGCAATTCTTTAGTGGTCGCACCAAAAGGTACGTACGGTGGAGGTTGGTTAAAGATGATGTTACGCGGCGTTCAGAACCAGTCTTGAAGTGAATGAATTAGAAAGAACGAAGAAGTAAGAAAATGAGACTTCAAGAAATGGGAAAGGAGACATCAAGCCGTTCTTCAAGAAATGGGAAAGGAGACACCTTACCATGTTACCATCATCATGCCCGTTCCAGATATTAGTGGTCACAAAAACAGTAGCACATAGAAGAGGACAAAATGCAAAATAAGAGGAAAGTGATAAAAAAAAAAACTGAAAAAAGTTCTATTGAATCAAAAAAATTTAGCATTCTTGATGACCTTCGTCAAAGAAATATGCCTTAGGAATGGAATCTACAACTAAAATATGCATTCCACGGAAACCAGCCAAAAGATTTTGGGGCACAGACTATGAAATGAGGAAGATAGTTGAGTGTAATTGCCAGATGAATGAAGAAACCAAAAACCTTGATTTATTGAAATTAAAACTTGACTCAACTCTAATCTTGCACTCAAACCTCTTGAGCACATATAGCCTCATAAACTAGTGAATTCATTTGGCACATTATGCATCTAATACATGTGCATTTTTGTCCATTCCCCCGTTGATACAACAGAAAACACTTCCCAGTATTGAAGATGAATCAGATGTTGTTGAAGCTACAAACTTAGGTCCACTTAAGCTACAAACTAAAAATAAAATTGAAAATGAAACTAGGGTGTCGGGAGGGGTTGCTAGGGGAAGGGGTTCTATTCTGCAGGGCAAGGATTGTGGTTAGGACTGGGGATGGTGGGGGTCACCGAGGGAGGGAACTCTGACTCCGACAAATGGGAGGTTTCAGTTGGGAGTTGGGAATTGCCAGGGGGAGCAAGGATGGGGTTTTGGCCCTCACGTTGCCTACTCTTTTTTTCAGACTTTGACTAAATCTTGATGGAAAAAAGGTTTAATTTTGGAAGGTAAAATAAGTCATTTTTCTGTAAATGTCTCCCATTGGTATCATTTTAGAAATGTCAAGGCAAGGGATGCTCGAATAATAAACCTATATGTCAGGTGTGTCATTATAGTTGTCCCATAGAACTCTCCTCCATACAATGATTTGAAATCGTCCAAAAGCAACATTCAAATAATAAAATTTATTTTCAAACCAAGAACAGTACCTTGCGATTCTTCAACTTTAGTCCCATGTCCATTGACCTCTCCTGAAGAACTTTTATGTCTGAACTTATCGAACCAATCTCAATCTAGCACAATATTTATGAATATTAATAATTTCAATCACAAAATAATCAAAGAAAGAAAGATTAATGAGATAGGAAGGGAAAAGGAGAGAATGAATGAATAAGCCCTCAAATTCTGAATAAATTAATCAAAGGATGGTCGGCAGGATAATAGGACACTAAAATCAAGTCACCCGCATCAGCAAGAAATGTGGCAAGTAACTTATGCTCAGCCATATTTTCCAGCAATTTCAAGCCCAGCAAGCATAGCTTGGTGAAGCATCAATGGTACGTAAAAAAAATTTCCAAAAAATCTATGTGCTTGTCGTCTTCATTTCTTAATATAGGAAAAATAGGGCCCTCAGACCATTCGATCCTTATTTTAGATTCAGTAGAAATGATCTTGAGCAAGTAAGGCAACATTCTACTACGTGTTAGGTATAGAAAATCTTTCTATGGGAAGGACATCAAAGTGAAACCGTGATTGGTCCCTCATCTCATGATTTCTCACTTACGCTGGGAAAAATCAAGTACACCACAGGAGCAAACTTCAGCATGGAGAAGAGATTACCAAAGATAAAGTTCATTTTGAGGAAGCTACATCTTCATTTATTTCTCATAATTCTTCACCCATAAGAACGGGTTTAAACATTATAATCCATTGATACCCACAAACATAAAATGCAGTTCAGATAACAATAAAAGCGTCTTTAGTAATATTACAAGCAATGTCTTAAATTTCCAAGAGATACATTGAATACCGCAGCTTATGACTGCCTAACAATAAATCGTCCTGGAAATAAGTAATCAAGGCAAAACTAAGAAGGGGTCACTGCAGTGGTTTAGGGAGAGCAAGAGGATGCTATCAATCAGAATATAGCATTCCGCTCCATTTTTATATATTTCGCTTAAGCCTTTTTTTTTTTCTGGTGCACCTTGGAGCAGCAATAAAGTTGTTCCATTGTGACTATGTGTCAGGAGTTCAAGTCACAAAAATAGCCTTTCAAGACTCTGTACATCTGATCCTTCCCAAACCCCCAGTGGCGAAAACCTCGTGCATTGGGCCACCCTTTAAGCTTCATGTTTCTACTAAGCTTAAGTTTCATCAAATGAGAGGAAACTTTTCTGAGATGTTCAGCAAAAATATTGAGAATTAATAGAAATCAATGTCGATTATTGCTCAGAAAAAGGCAGCACAAGATCTAATATTTAGTATGTCAAATGCACATCGTTAATTGAAGAAATAAAAGAGTAATAACTTGCAATTGACTATAAGATGCAATAAGATACCTGAAACCCACTAAGAAGTGTTTCCATTTGTGATAGGATGATGTCACAATCACGAATTTGATCATGAAGTGAGACTAAATTATCACTTTCTTTTATATAATCCTGTTGTTTGGACAAAAAATAAACTAATGAGAATCACTAGAAAGAGATACTTACAGATAACTAAAGAACATAAGAAGAAACAATTGTTTTTCAGAATTTAAAGAAAATTGTAACAAGAAGCAAAAGTGAAATCAAAATAATACACCTACAACTTTCAAAACATTAGAACGCTATTTTACAAGCAAAAACAAATTATTGGAAGAGGTTCTCATGGTGTTGATCAGAACAGGTCATGACAGTCTTGATACTGGCATGCAATGTTATGAAAATATAATGCTAAAATACACGATAAGTGGATGGCAATCAAGAAGTTTTATTTCTGGAAAGTGCTTCAACCCATTTTCCATCCAGATTGTACTATACACAACAGAACAGTATGAGTTGCCTAAACAGTAAAAAAATCCTAGATTCAGCATGCAGTTTTCCCTAAATCAAAGAGAAACCTTTACAGGGTAAACATGTGTAGAATGTAGGTTAGAAAACCCTTGAGTTCCCATATGATCCCCATACTCCCAACCCCTTAAAGAATACACAAATCAAACAATTTAATCACAAACCTGAATAGAGTCCAATTCAACTTGCCGCAAATTGTTTTCAACACCCTTTGTATAGTCCCGCAGTTTAATACCATTGGACAGTATATTTGCAACAACCTAGAATACAAAACATCACAGAATGTAACCACTAAATTTCTATGCAAGGTCCAGACCACAGGAGAGTTTTCCAGTAGAAAACGAAGCCAAAAAAAATAAAGCAGCAGCAATAGCAATAAAATCAAGTCGATCCCTAGATGATTTCAATACTTCCACCAATATATGATTGCATGCAAAGAACATTAATCTGTAGAATTAGAGAAGTTATACTCATTGCATGCTATGAAAGATATGAACTGGCTAACGCCCTTGTGTGCCTCACAATCATAATTTTAATCCTCAAACTTCCATTTCAATCTCTCTCTCTCCCCATATGTGTGCGGTGAGTCATTGCCTAGTTGAGTGGTAAAATGCTTCGGCTAACAAAGTGTGTTCAAATATGATGCAGCTACTGGGCACATCCAATGCCAAAGTAAGGTCTGTGCCCAGTTCACCTCACCTAGCGCTCTTGATTAACTGGACCAAAATGGGTAATTATATGTATATTTATGTTTTATATATATGAATCCGGTATGCATGGGTGATTAGAAGAACAAAAAATGATAATTCTACCTACATTATCACTTTGACATTCTTCTAGTTCTTGTTGTAATCCTTCAAGCGATATATCATCACTATAAACAAAGCAACAAAAAACCACCTTAGACCGTAACGTTAGATCTCAAAAAAAATCATCAAAAAACATACCGGCTCACATCGTCTTCCACACTCAAATCCCCAACAAAAGCGCCCAAATCCAACACAGATTTCTGCCCATCGTTTGTCTCACCATAAGATTCACCCTGCGCACACAGATACACGCATGTAATATGAGATAGACAAATCACAATTTCGGCCAAAGGGATAGTTGAAGAAACTTTACCAATTTGTTTGTTACTATGTCGGCCTTCATGTTTAGTTAATCCCACACTCACTTACAAATCTTCCTACATAAATGTATACATATATATCAGAAAAACAAAGGATGGGAATCAAGACGGCATATGTACATAAATACTTCTACCGTTCAACAATTTAGATCAATTGCAGTCGAAGGGTAAAGAAAAAAACATGTTCATTTCAATGGAACAACAAGTTCTAACACCCAAAACCCAAAGGTTCCATGCTCCAAAATACATTTTTCTATGGGCAAGCCATATTACAAATTAGTACTATATCTAAAAAAAAAAAAAATTCTACCATGCTAGATTAGAGGCTTCCGGGGTCTCCTCAAGTATTGAAGCCTCTAAGCAAAGTAGGCCAATACTGTTATACCATCAATTCCGAACAGGAGAAAAAAAAATTAAGAAGCATTCAGATCAGACAATGATAGCAGTAAGCAGAAGGTAATGGCTAAGAACCTATAGCTTTCTATCTGTCAAAAAAAAAAAAATTTAGACAAATGATCCAGTACTTTTAAGATAATACATATCAAATCATCATTCGAACAAATGGACACAGATGGCCACCAAAACAGATCTTCACAAGGTAACAAATTACAGAACACAAAACTAGGCAAAGTGCATGTCACTTTAAAAGTCTACAATAATGTCGAGGGGATAACAAAGTCACCAAGACTGAAAGAAACAAGATTGACGGCAAAATATAGCATTTTTTACAAAAACTATTAACTCAGGAGCAGAAATACCCAAATCCAACCATACATGCACAGACGCGCACACACTCATAAACACTCTCCTACACACAGAAACACAGACGCACGCGCGCGTACACACACAGAAAGACGCATGCACAAACACACAGACGCACGCACACAGAGATCTGGACTCAACAACAAACAAAAGCAGAGAGAGGTGAAGAAGAAACCCTATATCTGCGTATCAACACCCAAGATCTGTAATTAGAGGTGAAGAAAGAACCTTTATGATGCAAGGCTGAGACGTCGGAGCTGTAGGTCGTCTACCTTTGACGTCAATGGAGCCCAGCAGGTCGTCGGTGCTCTGAAGAAGAAGGCGTTCGTCGATTGGGGCGAGTAGAAAAAGTGGGGATTTAAAAATGACCCAAACTCATATTGAAATTTTAGTAAAAATTTTGATTTATGATGCCGTTTCTGGAGGTCGATAAATCATAAACTTCGAACACTGAAAAATGGTATCACTATATTAAATAATTATTTTATTTTTATTTTTTTAATTATATTATTTAAATTTTAATTTAATTTATTAATTTCTTCAAAAAATTAATCAAATATTAAATGATTCATATATTATAGAAATGAGTGATGTGATAATTTTAAAGAAAAAATACAAAGAAGATAAAATTTTACTTTTTATGTGTTTTATTATATAAATCACCGACACTTAAACTTTTTACCAAATGTAAATAAAAAAGGGCAAAAAATTTAATTTATTATACTAAATTTAAAGAAGGAAAATTATTTTTTCAATGGAGATAAACTCAAATTTAAAATAGAGCATTGAAAAAAAAATTTAAGAATTTGTTATCCTTTTTTTAAAGAGGTACAAAAAATGGTAAGAGCTACTCTTCTAGACACTTCTCTAATAAACAAACTCAAATTTAAAGTATGGTGAAATATGATTATTAGATCTTTTAAAATAGTCAAATTTAACCATCGAATATTTGAATAAAAATTTGAGTCTACATTTATTTTTTTTGTTAAGTTTAGTCTCCCTTTATATAGTATAAGTTAGAGTCAAACACTCTAGAGCTTGTGTTTTAGTCTGCTTCTACTCAAATTTAAATTTGAGTAAGGGTTTGAATAAAGAGTGGAGATGGTCTTAGGGGCCATATTTTGTAGCCAACATGATTCGAAACGACATACATGTACTTGATTTTGAATTTTTCAAAAACAAATATTATTCAAGCATACTAGGATGAAATAGACTTTGACTAATGAATTATGCAATCGAATTTATGTCACTAAGTGGCCGTTTGTTTATTGTCTTTGTTTTGGTGGTCCATTGGTGGATAAGAGGAAGGGAGGAGAGAGAGAGAGAGAAGGTTAGTTGAAAGAGGAGAAAGGAGCGGGGGAGAGAGAACAGATGTGAGCAAGATATTAGGCAGAGGTGGAGATGGGGGAGAAAGAAAATGGGTGAGAGAAGTTTTGGGACTTGGGAGTGAGAAACGTGGGTGATTGAAGGATTCCAAAAATAATGGCAGGAAAAACATTTCATTGATTGATTTAGATCGTTAGATCAACAATCTAAAAAAAATTTGGATCGCAAAAAACTTAAGACAAATTAAGGCTTTGAAATCCTTTGTCCCTTAGATATGTTATGGTGGCGAAAAATGCAGATGTACAATATGGTGGGTGGGTGGAGGTGGGCCAGCAGGGGTTGGGGGTTATCAGGTAGTCACCTTCATTTCTCATGTGTGTTTTATTTTTAACTAGCTCAATATACTTTCAAGGTTAAGGATATTCAAAACTTGCTAGTTGTTAACACAATAGATCAATGCTTTTCTATATTAGCATTTTCTCTAATGGCTCTACCTAGCTTTATAAATTGCCCTAAAAATTAGATGCATTGGATACATGTTGGATAATTTTTGGGTGTTTATTTGATTCCATGTACATTAATCATGTTATTTTTGTAATTATTATAATTTTTAGCATATTTATTATTATTAATAATTATTTATTGTTTTTTTATATGGTCCAATCATCACTTGTTTATTTATAATTACTAGTAATGCACACGTACATAAATGCTAAATACTATTTTTATTATGTGAAAATTTAAATCATGAAATTTTTATTAAATTTATTAGAAATACGAAGTGTATGAGTAATAAAATTAAATAAGTATTAAATGGTAAATACTATTGTATTTTGGCCTTTTTTTTAAGATAAATTAAGAATTCAAAATTTTTGATTGGATATAAAATTTTTATAATAGTACATAAGTGTTTGTTCATAAATTGTCAACCACTGGCAAATTAAATTGTAATTGTAGTTAATATTTCCATATTGTTGAATACCAAAAAAAATGTGCTTAACTTTTGAATTGTTTCAATTGGATTTCTATATTGTTTAACTTTTAGCACTGATAAAAGTATTTTGCATACAAATAACATAACAGAAGAAGTTAATTATAATGTCATATTTCTTGAAGTATAGAGAGATTGAAAATGAGCAATGCTATTTTGGGCTTAATTTATTAATTTAATTCACTATATTTTTGTCCTCACGTTGAATTATAATGTCATATCCTTATTCTTTCTCTCGCTATTTCGATGTACAATTCTATTTGTTCCTAAGTTAATGAGTATAACTCTTGTTTGCTCGGCGTGATATTATTTATGCAATATCCTTCTATCGAATCTAATTTTTTACTGCAATTTGTAGCAATATTATGATACTATTAAATTGAAATTTATGCATGGAAAAAATAGTAGACATGGTAGAAAATGATTTCTTAAATTTTATTTCAGTTTTTTATTAGTTGACCGTAGAGGTAGATACTCTTCTACCCCTATGGCCATGTAGGAATAACATAGCTTTACTTTGAAGTGCTTGTATTATTTATTCAACTTTAAACAAAAGCTAAACCCAACAAAATCTAATTGTTGACTAACCAAATAGTGGGGGAAGTAAATCTATGGCACTCTGTATTTTATTCTTATAAAGAATTGCGAAGACTACTCTAACTATTTCCAATTAAATATCTAAATTATCATCATATCGTTATGTATTTAAATCTGCAAATTATAACATATTTTTTAATTATCTATTCTCTATGTATAAATATCAGTTTCTACGAAAGTTTTTGATTGACTATGTTATTCTTAAAAAATATATATCATCATATTTTTAATAAAGTGTTCAAAAAACCTTCAAAAATTTTATCAATCTAATATTATTCATCTCATATACAAATATAACATTATGCCTACTTATGAGTATTTTCTTTTTCATAGAAAAGTTTAACCCTATGAATAAAAAATAATCGTATATACAATTTTTTAATCAATTTATGTTACAATAGTATAATTCTTAAGTAACAATACATTTTTTAAGTTGTATTAATATAGCTTAGGCGAAGAATATTGTCTGGGAAGGAAGATTTGAGGGTTCAAGGCTCAAATTTGTTGATAATCAGCTCAGGTGATAGAGAGTTCTACAACAATTGGGAATGATCCAACATAATGCTCGAAGACTGTAGAGAGGATTGCCTGAGTGTTCTGTTTCAGTTCTTCGAGCTTGGCTCATTGAACGTTATCTCAAATATTGTTAATTATGATTTCCATCTAGAGAAGCTGAAAGTTATCTCAAATATTGTCTAATGTCATTAAAAACAAAGATAAATGCTACTTTACTCAAAGATTGTACTATAGGAGTCGAAAGGGATTAGAATATGATTTCAAGCCTATATGATTCCACTAATAAGAATTTGGCAGTGACTATGAAGAAGGAAGAAGAATTTTTGAAATCCAAAAGGTACAAATTGAGCTTGCTATCCAGGCTAGAGATTCACAACTTACATCCTAGGATAGAGGTAAATTTAATATCATTTTCCTGAATATTTCTAAATTCGTTATGTTTCATACGGTTTTTATACATACCATTTCTAAGTGGTGTTTATTCATTATGAAGTTTTCCTTGTCCTTTATCTGGTTCTCCTCTTCTTCTCTATGTTCAATTAGATGTATGGTAATACACAAATGCTCTTCATATGACTGTATTGTTCATATGCTAAGATGCATATATGTCAATTTTACAAAATAGTCATAAAAAATACTTTTGCTTTTTTGACAAATTTTTTTCTTAAAAAAGTATTTAAGAAAGCATTAAAATGCTACATTGGCTTTTTTTAGCTTGGTTTTAGAAAGATAACTAAGTCTTGCTAAGCTTCTTTATTTGTAGGTTTCAAACTAAAAGGAAAAGAAGGATGATGGAAATTGAAAAAGAAATGCAAGCTTTGGTGAAAATGT